CTTACTGGGTAAATTTTTTTGTCTTTAACATATTCATCCGGTAAGGTAATGTGACCGGGTAAGCACTTACCCTGATAAGCGTTTGGTAAACGACCCCTAAACGCATTTACAAGTTGACTAAGTTATCTTTTATATTTATTTTAATAAATAATATAATTATCTCAAATTAGTGTTTTACATTGGATTTTACGGATCTCAAAAATTCTAAAATTCTTATTTGATTAAGCCCATATGTGTGTGTGTGTGCGCACATGTATGTATATATATATAGGTGAAGGATTGTGTAAGAAGTAGAATTAATGTTTGAAGCGTAAGAAGAGATCTGGAACCTTGATCACCTTTAATCTCAAACACACCCATGATTCGCGCTTGATACTGGGATAGATCCAGTGCATCTCGGTGCATTACATCCTAATGTGCATTCAAGGGCGGAAATATGTTCTTACGTTTCTTACCTTAACAATTATTCTCACTAAAACCAACTCTCTCTCTCTCTCTCTNGACTTATCAGATAAGTGCTTACCGGTAAATTCAACATTATTACTTACTTACCGGATAAGATTTTACTCCACGAAAACAACACCGTATGCAATAATCTACCCGATAAGCTCTTACCGTAGTAAGAATCATCGTCTTTACTTACCGGGTAAGACTCTTGTTCCTTGTCTTGCTCTTACTGGGTAAATTTTTTTGTCTTTAACATATTCATCCGGTAAGGTAATGTGACCGGGTAAGCACTTACCCTGATAAGCGTTTGGTAAACGACCCCTAAACGCATTTACAAGTTGACTAAGTTATCTTTTATATTTATTTTAATAAATAATATAATTATCTCAAATTAGTGTTTTACATTGGATTTTACGGATCTCAAAAATTCTAAAATTCTTATTTGATTAAGCCCATATGTGTGTGTGTGTGCGCACATGTATGTATATATATATAGGTGAAGGATTGTGTAAGAAGTAGAATTAATGTTTGAAGCGTAAGAAGAGATCTGGAACCTTGATCACCTTTAATCTCAAACACACCCATGATTCGCGCTTGATACTGGGATAGATCCAGTGCATCTCGGTGCATTACATCCTAATGTGCATTCAAGGGCGGAAATATGTTCTTACGTTTCTTACCTTAACAATTATTCTCACTAAAACCAACTCTCTCTCTCTCTCTCTCTCTATTTATATATATATATATATATATATATATATATATATATATATATATTATAGGAAAAAGTTCATTTATGAAGTGGTAAATATTTGAGAAGTAAATAAATGATCTTAGCCATTTATCTGGTCAATGTTTACAGCTTTGACCGTAAAGAACCGAATAATTCTTCGCATGGGTATGCAAAAGAACCGAATAATTCCTCGAATGGATAGACGGATAACATGATTTGTGTGTGTGCAATTATCATTACTATCTCATATATGTGAACACTCTATACAGTCATTAAGTATCTTATTTGTACATTTAATATAAACAAATACTAACAATTAGCTTTATAGACCTAAAAATTCATTTTTATCGTAAAAATAAAAGTAAAAAATGAAATATTTAGGAACCGTTTACCTAAATACTTACTCGGTAAAATTCAACACCATCGCTTACTTATCGGGTAAGATTTTATTCATTAAAACGCATCGTATGCAACAATTTATCCCGGTAAGCGCTAATCATGGTAAGAGTCATCGTCCTTACTTACCGGGTAAGACTCTCGATTCATTGCCTTCGCTCTTACCAAGTAAGATTATTAGCTCTTGCCATATTCATCTGGTAAAGTAAAGTGACTTGGTAAACGTTTACCCGGATAAGCGTTTGGTAAACGACACCTTAATCTTTACATGTCTAAAATGTCAAAAAAAATTATTATTTAGAAATTAGGTATATTTGACATTCAAGATTCAATATTTGGTTTTATTAAATTAAATATAAAAACACAAATGTGAAACCAAACCTATTCAATATATAAAATCATAAATAAACAAAAAGTAGTGCATTGCGTACATAATTTGGTCATGTGATCCAATGAACAAAGTCAACTACATCAAATTCAAAATAAGTGGGTTTCCAAATTTTGACAATTCACCTCATTTTAATTTAATAAAATAATATTTTTAATTACATATCTAAACATGAATTACTATTTATGGTTAATTTATTCATATATAAAATGGTTACATATTTATTTTTCCATTAAAAATTATTATTTATGTAAATTTTGTAGTCCAAAAATGAGTTTATGAAAAAGTACAATTTTGGTCCCTTCAGTTTCCAACCGAACTATGAACAGACTTCTCAGTGTTGTTAGTTAAAGGGCACTTTTGTCATTTTATATTTTTCACTTATTTTCTTTAAAAAAAATAATAAAATTAATATCAGTATTATTTTAATAGATCAATATATACATACAAAAACTCAACATATACGTACACAGACCACCATATCCACATCATTGCATCCCCCATCAATCACCGTAGACACATTGTTGCATCTCTCACCGACCACACTTTCCATTCCATGGTGAACCCTTCCTAGCGAGACACCACCACTATTGCTAACCACAAGGATGGTGTCTGATTGGTTTGAGCTTGACTTTAAAGTTCAAAATTTCCTCGAGCCTCCAGGTTCAAATCCAATGAGGAATAAAAATCTTTTGTGGCCACGTAGGTTCAAATACGATGACTCCAGGCTATCTGCAAAGCAAATAGTCGCTCTGATATTAATCGGCTCGTACAACGAATTGAATATCCAGGTTAATAAAAAATAGGATGACTTAAGGTAGAGAAGCATGTGAGTGCATTTATGTGTAAAAGACAAAAAAATATAAATACCCCTCATTTAATCGAAAGTGCAATTACTATTACTTTACTTAATGCAGTTTAGGGATGTAATTCGTAGTTGGATGTAAACCACAAGGACCAAAATTGTAGTTTGCTTTTACGACAAATATGTTTTCTTAAAAGTCTTGTTTATGTCTATTTTTTAAATTAATATTGAAAATGATACATTATTTTATGTGTAGTTATTGAATTTTTGACAATTAAAAATTGTTTTTCAAAAATGGGTCAGAATTATAATATTTTAATTTTGATTAAATTAAAATAAAATGAGAAGAAACTTTTTTATTAATTAGAATGAATAAAAAAGGAGATTTTTTAAATTTTGGCTATTTTTTTATTTCTATAAATTCTTTAAAAATAGAAAAAATATAAGAGATAATAAACTTCCTTGAAAATGATTGCTTAAAGTATTTCTAACCCATTATTATAACATTAAAATGAGATTTAAAATTCAACAATTTAAAATACACTAAAAAAATTGTAATTTCAACCACATATTAAGAAATATATTTAAAGGACAAAATCTAGACTTTAATACGTCAACGTTTTGGGTGTTTCTTTAACACGTCATCGATCATAATATTCTACCTTATATCAGTATCGGGTTTAACAAAATAATTCAAATGTAAATAAGACTACAAAGTTAATATCATAGACGTTCCAATATTTTTGGATATCCTGTTACATCTAAAGTTGTTATTTTTACAATGATACGTGTATACAAATTACAAAGACGATGATGAGACGTATTACTATGAATTATAATTTTATATTCATTGATAAAAGTTCCTAAACAAAATAAATATTGGGTCCAAAAACTTCGTTAAAAATCACACATTTAACATGTTAAAAATAAGAATTTAAGAAATAAAAATAAATAATCTATACTATCTTATAAAGCATTTGGCTAAAACTCTTAAAAACTTTTAAAACTCTTAAAAACTCTTAAACTCATTCATCCCTATCCGAATTCATCCCATATCTGAATTCGTTTAACTAACTGCAGATAAACACAATCAAATACAGAATAAACATCTTATTTTAAATATAAAAAATCTAAAATATAATTAGTATAATCATTAAATTCTAAGTTCTAAAGAATACTTAATTATTATTTTTATAAAATTTATAATATTAAACCAAAAAATAAATTGTTTTATTATTGAACTTAAATTAAGTTATATAAAAAAAAATTATATTATATATTATAAATCATTTGACAAAAACTCTTAAAATCACTTTTATGCGTAAAGTACTGTTTATTAATGCATATTACTTAAAACTCAAGATT